ACTCAACCACCTGGACTCCCTGAACTGGCAACAAAAGAGGATCTGGAAAAAATGAAATCAGAAATAATTTCTCAGATAACAGCAGAGATTGTGCCTGTAGTGCAAGACATGATTAATAAATCTAGAGAGGACACAGATAAAAAAAATAGGAGCTGAGGAACATGAAGGAATCCCAACAGAGGAAACAAGTGGAATCCATAAAACAGATGAAAACAGATTTCCAGGAGATTAAAAACTCCATTGAAAGTTTACACAGCAGAATGAGCCAATGTGAGGACAGACTATCACATAGAGAAGATAAGATTGCAATTAGTGACAAGGAAAAGAAAAAAATTTTTTAAATGGTAAGGGACCACAAGAAATCAATCTAGCAGCTGTTGGACAATGCAAAGAAGAATAACATAAGACTGATAGGAGTCAATGAAGAAACAGGAGAGGGTGCAGATGACATAAAAAAATGTTCACAGAAGTGATGGCAGCAGGCCGGGGATTTAGCTCAGTGGTTCTGCTGCCTGCCTCACAAGTGGAAAGACCCGAGTTTGATGCCTGGTACCAAAAAAATAAAACAAAACAAAAAAGAATTGATGGCAGAAAACTTCCCAAGCAGGGGAAAAGAACTTGACATACAAATAAGGGAGGCATGTAAGACCGCAACTAGCCTTGATTAAAAAAATCTACACATAGGCATATAATAGTTAAGATTCCAGAAACCCAACAGAAGAACAAAATTATGCAACCAGTTAGAGAAAAGAAACAAATCACATACAAAGGAAAGCCCATCAGAATCACAGCAGACTTCTCAATCCAAACCCACAAGGTAAGAAGAGCTTGGAGTGATGTATTTCAAGTCATAAAGGAAAAGAGCCTCCAACCCAGAATGATGTGCCCTGCAAAACTATCTTTCAAAATTGATGCAGAACTAAAATACTTTCATGACAAAGAGCACCAAAACACCAAACCAGCACTCCAAAACATTTTAGACAATATCCTAGGAAAAGACAACCAGTATCGCAACCCCAGGAAGTCCAGCAGAATGAATCCATCAGCCATGACAAGAAATTAAATGCAAAGGGGGAGAATCCAACAAAAAGAAAAACTTATGACAATGATAAGTCAATATGTATGAGTTATAACCATCAATGTCAATGGTCTCAGTTCACCAACCAAAAGAAATAAACTGGCAGAATGGGTCAAGAAGAAAGATCCGACAATATGTTGCATACAAGAAACACACTTAATTCAAAAAGAAACCCACAGACTGAAAGTTAAAGGGTAGAAAACAATACTCTATGTGACAGGAACCCGAAAAAAAGCAGGAGTAGCTATCCTCTTTGCAAATCAAGTGGATTTCAAACCAACACTGATTAAGAGAGAAAAGGAAGAACACTACATCCTTGTAAGGGGAACAATCCAAGAGGAAGAGATGACAATCATAAATATATATGCACCAAACACTCGTGTGCCAACTATATAAATCAAATAATAACGGACATGAAAAATCAAATAAACACTAATACAATAGTAGTGGAGGACCTCAATACCCCACTGTCACAAATAGATAGATCAAATAGACAAAAAATAAACAATGAAATTCTAGAACTCAACCAAACTCTTGAACAAATGAACTTAACAGATGTTTACAGAGTGTTCCACCCCACAAAATCAGAATATACATTCTTTTTCTTTTGGAGGAACCAGAGATCAAACTCAGGACCTTGTGCTTGCCAGGCAGGTGCTGGTGCCACTGAGGTAAACCTTCAGCCACAGAATACACATTCTTTTCAGCTGCACATGGGTCATTCTCCAAAATAGACCACATATTCTCTCATAGAACATGATGAAGTAAATGCAAAGGAATTGAAGTTATCCCCTATATATGGTCAGACCAAAGCATGATGAAATTGGAGATCAATAGCAAAAGAAACAACAAAAATTTCATAAACACATGGAAATTAAACACACTTCTGAATAACCAATGGATCACAGAGGAAATTAAGAAATCGTACAGTTCCTACAACTAAATGACAATGATAATACAACATATCAGAATCTATGGGACACAATAAAAGCAGTCTTATGAGGGAAATTCATAGCAGTGAATACGCATATTAGGAAAACAGAGCAAGCTCAAATAAACAACCTGATGCTGAACCTCAAACTTCTAGAAATAGAAGAGCAGGACAAACCCAAAGCTCATACAAGGGAGGAAATTGTAAACATCAGGGCACAAATCAATGCAATGGAGACTAAGAGAATGATACAAAAAATCAATGAAGACTTGGGTCTTCAAAAGAATAAACAAAATTGACAAACCCTTAGCCAAACTTATCAGAAAGAGGAAAGAAAAGGCTCAAATCCATGCACTTAGGAATGAAAGGGGTAAAATTACAATGGACACAGCAGAAATCCAGAGGATCACTAGCTACTTCAAGAACCTATATGCCAATAAGATGGAAAACACAGAAGAAATGTACAGATTCCTAGATACATATGAATTACCAAAGTTGAATGAAGAAGACCTAAAAATTCTAAACAACCCAATATCAATCAATGAAATTGAAA